TAGGCTGGGGTGGCTCAGTGGATAGAGCGTCGGCCTGCAGACGGAAGGGTCCCAGGTTTGATTCCCGGTCAGGGCACAGGCCCGGCTGTGGGCTCCATCCCCAGTGTGGGGCGTGCAGGAGGCAGCCGATCCATGATTCTCTCTCATCATTGATGCTTCTCTCTCTCCCCCTCTCCCTTCCTCTCTGAAATCAATAAAATAGATTATAAAATAAATAAAAATTAAAAAGAACAGGTGGGGGCGGCCTCGTGGGCCCGAGACCGGGTTTGGTCCTGGGCCGGCCACCAGCTCGCCGAGACACGGAGAGCTTTGGGCTGAGTCCAGGCCCCGCTGGCTCCCGTCACTGGTGACCCCCGCAGCCCCGCCCGCCAAGAGGGACATGCTGAGTGACCAGAGAATTCGTTCTTGGCAGCGGCGCGGGGGCAGGTCTTGCTCTAGGAACCGCCTTCCTCTTTGTGGGACGGGCGCAGAGCAGTGTCCCCCTCCGGGCGGGCACTCCCCGGCCATTTATTGTTCTTGCCGCAGCACCGCTGTGTGTGTCTCCCCGGCAGCACGGGAGCCGTCACCAGCCCAGGAGGAGGGGTTTCCTGAGTGTCCCTGGTTACGGTCAGGCTCCGTAGAAAGAGGGCGTCGTGGGTAAACCAGAGGCCACGGGTGTGACAAAAGCCACGCGTGCACGTGTGAGTGTGCAGGGGTGTGCCCGTGTGTATGTGTGTCCCTGCACATGTGTGTGCACGTGTGTGCGTGCTTCCGTGTTTGCCTACGGCTTGCTTGTGAGAGGAAGCACGCTCCTAAGAGCCCACGCAGCCGCGGCGAGGTGACGGTGACATTGTCTGGGAGCAGTGATGGCGTTTCAGACCCAGGGAACTCGCTGGACGGCTGACGCGAGTCCCCCCTAAGCAGGCGGGGATGTGCCCGTGTTCTAAGGGGGTTGTGTGGTGGCAGCTGCGAGGCTCTGGCCTCGGGCTTTCCGGTTCTGGGGCGGACGGACTTCGGCGTGGGTGCGGGATGTGGGGGCTGAGGGCCCGGGCTGAGCCCCGCCACG